TTTTTTGAGCAGAGATTTACATTTCTTTTGAATGCTGGATGTCAGACCAATGTCTCTTTTGAACATGATAACATTCTGATAGTGCTATCAGGTTCCATAAGATCATTTAGGTTACAACAGTAAGTATTCTTTTCTTTCTTAGGTCCAGAAAATGCACTGAGTCTGAATTCTTAGGCACCTTACTACATCAAATATGTCCTTTCTTTCCTATGCAACAGAATGTTAAATGACATTTTTCTGTTGTTTCAGCTGAGTGCAATAAATGGTAAGGACCTTTACATTCTAATGTAGAGATAATAGATTCATTAAGGCAAAACTTGCAAGCAGATAGCCAAAACAACCTTTCAACCCTTAGCCCTTCACCCACCTGTTGTTTATATATAAGAGATGGCTAGAGATTGATCTGTTCAGAGAGAGGATTTCTTCTGAATAGAGCTGTTGGAGGACTATGAATTTTCCTGATTTCCGTCCCCTGCCCCCCATGGTGAGTAGAAGGGGGATGATGTCCCCCATCTCAAACTAATTGAGAGGGACTCTTAGAGAATCATTTATAGAGAGTAAGAGTGTATGCCACAGGGAGCAAATAATACCTCACTACTCCCCTATCCACCTCCCCCACTGATACTTGCAGAGCAGCAAAACTTATTGGTTCACCCTGTGCAGTCTCCAAACCAGAGTAAGGTAAGAGAATCCTTGAAACTACTTGACTTGTATTTCCTGTTATTTCACGGGGTACAAAATTGATGCTGATTCTCAGCTTAACTATTCCCCACTCTTAGCCCCACCTGTGGAGGATACTGAAACTATAATATAAGTGGAAAAAGGAAAGTAAAAGAACAGAGTGAAGAACTGATCATGCCCCTCTTTCCCTTGGCTTGTATAAAAATTAGCAGGCCTAGATTGAACTGGGAGAAGCGACAAGGTTTGATTTTATGCTAGATGGAAGTATTGACTTAGATTGAATTAACTCTTTAATATCTGAAAATAAGACAGAACTAATGTACAAAAGTGACTAGAAAAGCCCTGGGAGAGACAGGTGTGACACACGAGTTTGAAGGGCAGTGGTAGGAGAATGTTTGCTGCCCACTTATATGGAACCAGTCAAAGCTAGCTCATTCAATAAAAGTTACACCAATATCTTCATTTTCTCACTCTTTCCTATTAAAATAAAACACATTAACACAGCAAGCACTTCAACAGACTCCAGAACAACTCCTTCCAACTACCACCATCTCACCATATCTATCCTCCCCTTTAATGGCAAACTCAAGTAATTTATATTCATTGGTTTGATTTCCTCTCCTCTCATTTTTGTTCTATTTGTTGTTTTATTTATTCTGCAACTTTCAATTAAATTAATAGACTATTTTTAAAATAGTTTTAGATATACAGAAAAATTAAGCAGGCTATTATCTTATATCCCTTGCCTGCACTGGTTTCACCTGTTATTAGCATCTTATATTAGTATGGTACATTTTTTACAATTAATGAATCAATGTTGATACATTATTTATTTTTAAAGTAGAGTTAGCTCTGTGTTGTACAGTTCTACAGGTTTTGACAAATGGATAAAGTCATGTATCCACCATTATAGTATCACACAAAATAATTTTGCCACCCTAAAATTCCCCTGTGCTTCACTTATTCATCTCTTCCCCTCTCCCTGAAATCCTGGCAACCACTGATCTTCTCAGTGTTTCTATAATTTTGCCTTTTCCAGAATGTTTTATAGTGGGAATCATAAAATATGTAGCCTTTTCAGATTGGCTTCTTTCACTTAGCAATATTGCAATTAAAGTTCCTATAGGCCTTTACATGATTTGATAGCTCATTTCTTTTTAATGCTGAATAATACTCTGTTGTCTGGATGTACCATAGTTAATTTAGTCATTCAACTATTGAATTGTTTCCGGTTTGGAGATATTATGAATGAAACTAGTATAAACATGTATGTATAGGTTTTTGTGTAGAAATTTTCATCTCAACTGGATAAATACCTGGGTGTATGACTGCTACACTACTGCATTGCATGGTATGAGTGTTTTTAGCTTTTTACAAAACTGCCAACCCATCTTCAAAGGTAGCTTGTACCGTTTTGCATTCCCACCAATGAAGAACGAGGGTTCCTGATGCTCCTTTTTAGCACATAGTATTGTCGGTGTTTTGAATTTTAGCAATTCTAATAGGTCTGCAGTGGTGCCTCGTTGTTTTAATTTGCAATTCTCTAATGCATATGAAGTTGAGCATCTTTTCATATGCTTATTTGCCATCTGGATATCTCCTCTGGTGAAGTGTCTATTCAGATCTTTCACCCATTTTTTATTTGGGTTGTTTGTTTTCTTATTGTTGAGTTTAAGAGTCCTTTACTTTGAATTCAAGTCCTTTATCAGATATGGGTTTTGCAAATATTTTCTCCCGGTCTGTGGCTTGTCT